TTATCGAACACTCCACAAACGACCGTTTGCGGGCTATCACTGTAGACAGAGCCCTTCATCGAGGCTGCAGTGTCACAAAAGAGGCCACACACTTCACTACAAACTAAACCACTTAAGAAGGTCTGCGAACGAAAATTTCCTCTCCTATCACTCGCTACTCCCTGGCCTCTCCCATAAAAGAATCAATGAACGTACTTTCGAAGCCCGCCAAAGGTTGTAGCTGTACTCCAAAGAGGTACTGCCCTGGCTATCCCGGTCGAGAGATACATGTAATCACCGCGCGTAAGACCTCGCTCGAGCGCCGATCAACGCGGCAGGTAGTCTCAGCCAGCCAGCCACTCCGTCTCCTATGCTTCCAGCCGCCCCTGCCTATCCCTGCACAGGTTTGGCCAAAGCTAACATCGTTAAACAGCCAATCATAACTCGAAGGGCCACCTGTCTGTTTGTCGATCTATAGATCCGCAATTTACCTGAAAGCAGTTAAACCTTACACCGTGTATAACACGACATCTACCTAATTCCAAGACAGAAGTGTAGAGACTTTCTCCAGGAAATATGCATGTAGCTTTCACACCGACATTTCTGTCGCCATTTTGGCTGAGATTATCTCATGATGTCGAATCTTATGCCCAAGCTTGGCAGAAGGGAAGAGACACTCATGACTCAGTCCGGGTGCCTCATGTTAGGAAGCTTTGGATGAATTTGAGCGTACATTTGCGAGCAAATTTGGCGCAACCGTCTCAGTCTACATTCCGCTTTCGGCGAGCCTGCGGCTGAGTGCTACAATTTTTGATCATAGACAGAAGTAGATAAACTCCATAGGCAACAGCCTCACGGTCTGGCTTACACACCGACACTTCGTTAAGATCGCCCTCGAGACAATAGTCATCTGAGTGGCGGTAGAATGAGCAGATGCGTCTAGAGCCAGCAGGTTTCTCACGTCATTTGTATGTCTTATGATGATGGGATTGGCAATTTGTGATGGGAGGGTACTAGCAACAGCGACCAAAATCTGCATCAACATACCAGTCATAAACGCCAGTTTCAGCTCAGTCTCGAGTACAGTGGAGCAAGTAAACTTGAAGGCTGCTGTATGGACTCTCTGGCTCCAGTCCCCTTTCATGCATGGGAGAGACTGTGGCTATGACAGAGGCTGTCATTGGTGCACGAGCTCAAGATGTTGAGGAGTGAGCAGCTTCAACAGTTCTTGCTCGGCTGCTCAAGGTTGAGGACAAGGCATGTGTGTGATCGGCAAGAAACGATCAGCTGGCTCATTTTGTGATGTATCATAGAGAGGAGGGAGGTCAGGGAGTTTCGCGACGTAATTAAGACATACGAGAGATAGTCCAGGAGGGGTCAGATGAATCTCGAAGCGAAGGCTGAACTTGATATGCACAAGCATTGATCCGCAATAGCACGGAAGGGAAGAGGGGTGGCCGCGGGCCAACTTTACACTTGAAATGATACCCTGGACCTATCGACTGAGTGGCTATGGGGGCTTACAATCGACATGAATATAAAAACCAGTAAGTTCCCGAATTTCTGGAGGGGAGATTTGTCACAGCATCGCACGGATTCAGACTTTTTCTTTACCTACTCCCTGTCTATTCTTTGTAAACTACCAGTTCCCACTTAACGATCAACCATACTCCTTACACCACAGATCATCATGGCCGAGCAAAACGTTGGTGAGTGAACTTCGCCTCTCGCCGCACATCGATTAGCCTGCTTGGCTCTAATCGTACGTGTCTCGTACAGGTGCCGTCGTTGCCCTTTCGCCCCCGGAGCAAGGTGACAATGTCTGGGAGGCGAAGCAGGTTGAACTCGTCCGCAACCTGCCACCCGGAGATGACCAGGGACGCCATTCTATTGACTGGAGCTTTGGACCTGTCAAGGTAAGTCTTCCAAAGGCTTTCTCCCCTGAGAAATTTCGTAGCATCAAGCAGCAGTGATTGCAAGATTGCTTCTGCAGGTGCAAAACTCAGTCATCCTTTGACAGATTTTAACTGAGCAAACTTTTCTGCGACATAGATCAGCGGCTACGTCGATACAAACACTTTTGAAGTCGGTCTGACCGTCTCGATTGCCGGCATCAACATTGGCAACATTTTTGGCAATCTCAAGGACGGTGTTGGTCTCAAGATCAACCTTTTGGCTGCTAAGGGCGAGATCAGAGTTTACCTCAAAAACGGGAATGAGGTCTGGATTCATCTTGACGTCAAGATTGTCTTCGATGGCCACTATGAGGGAGATTACAAGATTATCACTATCTGATAAATATTTTTTGTCCGCATGGCCACCAAGCTTACATGTACGGTACGTAAAGCTCGATACTTAATGTCAGCCATTGCGAGACCGACAAATAGATTCATCATTATTTGTCGCAAAGGATTCTAGCAACAGTCTTTACTTTACTTGACAACAAGAGTCCAACTTGAAAGTCGTTGTTTGATTTAAATGCGGATCAGTTGATTGAGTATGATATAATGAAGCATTTATCATTGATCTTGAGACTTGTCCGGACATGGCGGCTTGCTGCACAAGAGAATGCGAATCACAAAAAGACTTACGTCAAATGGTGGTGTCATCTTATCAACTACCGCGCAAAGTGATTGAAATTCGTGAGAAGGCGTCTGGTGACGGGGCAGAACAGAACATAGTAGGAGCTAGTGAAAGGCCGACAACGGGTAAAGGGGCATCGCCCAGTAATCAAAGACATTGACATACCTTTAAATCTAATTAGATGAAGAACATTTAACAGCCTCGAGGTGGTTTCTTATTTGAATGTTCCATGGTGGCTAATAATACAGGCAAGATATCATAAATTAGAGTCCGCTGGAATCCCAATTCATCTTGCAACAACTGAAAGTATGCTACCATCGACTGCCATGGGCACTCGGTGCGTCTTGGACAAGATTGTGTTTACATCAGCTGTATTGTTACGAAAGGTACTTTTCTTCGGAGTTCGAAGGTGGTTAGAATTCGTCCTCTTCTCTGGCATACGTTTGACGTCGTATCACCAAAAAAGCGAAGTGACTGGATTTCTCTGTGCAACCTCGTATTTCTACGCTGGTCTCGCTATCTATATGCTCCAAAGCACGTCTCTGACCTCATTCATAGCCACATTAAACGCTCAGCAGCACGACAAATTACATACTGACTGAGGTGCAAATGGCGCTCAAGGGGCATACCAAGGGTCTTTACTGGCGATGCTCTAGCATTTGCCAGTGTAGCAAGAAGTAGCGCCGCAGCAAACGTTCTTGTGGTTGGAGCAGGTGCAAGACCAGATCTGGCGACTAACAAGCTCGTTAACGACAGCTTCGGCGCGAGCCTCAAGGGCTTCAGCAGTCTCAATAGCGGGCGCTGCCATGGCGAAGGCGGCGAAAAGGCCGATGATCGTGGCAGAGAACTTCATTGTGGGATTTTGCGGAGATCTGAATATGACGGCAGTGGGCGTCAATGATCCATGTCGCCATAAAAGGTGGGTGGAAGTTTAGCGGGGACTTACTTATCTAGTTGAGAATAGATTCTGTGAAGTTTGATTAACTTGCGGTCACCGAATTCGAATTCGAGGTTGTTGATGATGAGAATGTGAGATAGAGAGGAGTGGAGGAGGGCTTTATTTATATTCATTAACTGTCTAAATTTACTCGCGGTTAGTTTGCCAAACCTCGAGACTATCCACAAGGCACCAGACCAAGCTGTCCCATCAAGAACAGGAAGGTGTTTCGGAACAAAATCCGGTCGAGTTCTAGCGCGGTGGCATGGAGGCACGGCAGCTACCACAAATCAACCGAATACGCTTGTTACGTTGACGGGAATTCGGGCATAGTGACCGTAAGCGGCTCTTTGTAGTCATGATCAATTAGCAGATCAAAAGTCTTCGCAACGACAGACTACATAGTATGACGGCTGCGTTAGAGAACTCAGCATAGGAAAGTGCAAACACGGGCTTCCCATGAACCCAACAGGCACCATGTCACAACATTATTTTCCACCTGTGCCTACCATTTCACTGAGTCCTTGGGAAGCATGAGGGTTGTTCAAACCTCAGATCAATGTGTGGAAGTTCAAAAACAAACATCGAGAATGAACTGAGGATAGGTACGGTAAGTACATCGCCAGACCATATCCATTAGGAGCAGGAGTTGTCATGGCCGAAGTCTAAAACCTGAGTAGTTTCTTCAAAGTCGGTTTGTTCTGTTGCGCTTGAAGGAGTACGATCACCAAACTTTACATGGAGAAATAGGCTCCGAAGGATTCGATTGCATCAAGCTCGTACCTTGTTGAGCCAAGAACTGAAGGATTTGTTTAGCGAGCAGCCCTGGCTCGCTGTGTCTGCGTTGTGCATGCAGAAGGATCAGCCAATGCGTGCTGGGCATGCCTTGCTTGAGTCCAGAGTTGCCTGATGTTGACAGAAAGGAGTAAATGTTGCATTTGAGTCCAAATATGACGACTCCAATGAGCAAAGCCCCGGCCTGAGGACTTTTGACAACTATCTAGAAGGGTGATTAGCGCCGAATGAGGAGATGCTTGCGGAGTATCGAGTACAATGCTGCCGCTACACATTTCAAGGAATTTCCAACTCGAACGCAATCAAAGATTCCATTCAATGCAGCGATTTTCAAGTCCTGAGACACAAGGTGCTTTGGTTCTTACAGCTGTGACACTAAGTCCTCAGCTTAGGTATGTTGCAACTCATATTTACCACCTGATTTCTATCATATTTCCCCCTCCTGTCTTCGGCGCATCCTCCCGACGCCCGACTACAGTGTTGGCCTGGTAGCTAAGCTGCCAGCGCGGGATTCTTCAAAATTCAGTAACAGAACACGCAGTCCATTTTTTTGATAATCAAATAAGCATTGGGATGTTATGCATACTTCGCAGATGGAAGAACATTTGAGTCTGGTCATCAAACAACATTGATGGAGTCAACTTAATCGCTGCAAGAGTTCGTAATGCATTGACATATTACACTGGCCGTACAAGCACAATGTACCTCATGACTGTGGCCACTGTTCCGTACCATCCGGAAAATGCCCATCTGTGCCTAACATCCCCCAGAGATGTTCCAGCCGAACACCCCCAAACAAGTCCGTATTGCTGATCTCGGTAAACATACCCGACAAATCCGGAAGCTCAAGGTCCATCAGGTCAATATCTGGATCCACATTTACCTCACCGACGTCCCTCGCCGGCGTCTGTGCAGTCTGCCAGGGTTCTGTTGTCGTTGTGTTCAATGAAGCTCGGTTCTGACGATGGCCAGATACGATCTCTGACATGTTGGATTGCAGAACGGAGCACGCTTGGATGAACCGGGGGTTCTGTGTGACCTTTGTGTACTGCTCCTCCGCATACTGTGCTGCTATGCCCAGAAGCTCCAAGTCGGACCGGGCAAGCCGCGAGCTGGGTTGTTTGAGGATGTGGAGAGCGAGAGCTACTGCGGACATGAGGGGTTGGGTCATTGTGAAAATCATGGACTCTGATCGGTTGTGATGAGACTGAGCGAAAATTCCGCCGTTACCGCCGCGCGGCGCAGGGGTTGCGTCGTCTGCGATTTCGCCAATGAGTCTGGCCATCGCTCTCGCCGACCCAATGCAGATCTCTGCGCCTCGTCTGAGTCTTGTGAGTTCGACGGATGACAGTGCCCCCGAGTCTGCTTGTGTGTTGATATGTGTTCGATACATCGACTCTGGGAAAACCAAGGCCGCTCGGTGGAGGGATATGAGGGCATGGTGGTAGTGGATAGCGAGGAAAATGGCAAAGTGCTGATGTCCCGTATCACACAGGTCGGCATTTCCACTATTAGGACCTGGAGGGCGGATCTCGGACGGTAACGACTGGGCCCATTCCGTTAGTGCCGTATCTAGACGGACCGTGTCACCGAGAAGGATTCGTGATGTCTGGGATTGCCCGGAGCGGCGGTAAATGTGAGCGCTTATACTGCTGATAATGCGTGATAATGACGCCCAAGGTTGGAAGTAGTCAATAGTATGTCGATCACCCTGGGCTTCAGGGCTCGATGTCGATAGTGTCGAGGGTGCTGGAACTGGAACTGGGTCCGGCAACTTTTGGTCACAGTCCGAATCGTGGATCGCACTTGGACGGCCGGTCTCAAGCTCCATCAGCTTTTCGAGGGTGTAGCATACCCACCAAACTTGAGTGTTCAGTTTCCGGTTCGCTTGGTAGCCTGGCGAAGCTGCAGAATCTCCAGTATCTGGCGGGTTGCGGGAGTGCCGTGTTGAAGCATGTCGGTGAAGGCCAATGGAATGGGCAATGCGGATAGCTTGCCCAAGAGTCTGCCATCCTTGGCCCTCTTTGCTACGACCACGCAGTGCTACGGATAGGAGTAGTAGAGCTTGTACCGAAGCCAAGTATGGCGTGGATATCACATGCGCTAAGAGGCTGTACGCGGCAGTGAGGTAGTGAGTCCCAATCTCGGCCAATGTTCCGGTCTCTTCATCTGCACCGATGCAAATAATGCAGTAAATGGAGACTAGGAGTGGAACTTGGGATGGCTCAATGGAATTTTGTAGAGATCCGGACGCATCGGCGTCTTGAAGTGTCGTAAGTCTTCCTAATTCCGAGCGGATAGTCGGCTCGTCAAAGACAGGGAAAAGAGGGTGAATCCTCTTCATGTAAACATCTAGGTAGGCATCGAGGGTGGGAAGTGGAGGCAGAGGGGGGAGTTGAAACGATAAAGGCAATTGGAACTCCTCAACGTGGTGCATCCCGAAGCGGAAGTAGGGCGATAATGGCCGAAGACCGCGTTTGCGGAAGAAAAGATCGGCAAACATCGTCAGAGACTGTACACTGCTACCACCCATGAACTTTAGCCGATGTGGACTCTCATCAGTGTTGAGCGTCATGTCGGGGTTCAGATCCGCATGCTCATGAGGACTGTGATTTTCTCGCGCGTTGGCACGATATGCCTCCGCGACCCATGAAAGCTTTCGTAATGCCGCATCTTCGGCTTCGGAGCCGTCATCGTACGCCGGCGATAGATACTGCCGAGGGCGCGGAGAGACGGCGCGAAGAGGATCTCGAGGTGTCTCGGAAACCCCCTGTACACTGCCGCCGCCCTGACTTTGTGTGCTGGCGCTCTTGGCCGCCCATTTCCGTACGGCGTGCTGGTTCGGATTTCTGGGGTTTGTGGTCTGGCATTCATCGCCCCGGAGGATGCAGTTGTGGCATTTTGGAGTCTGCGCATCGCACCGGACCTTTCTTTTGCGACATTGATTGCAGGCCAGAGACAGTCGAATGCGCTTCGGTTGGGAACTTTGCGGCTGTTCGCCCGAGCTGGATACGGAGTCGGGCATGGCTGCTGACGGAAGGTGAAAGAGCAGAGGTTTTCGGTTGGGAGATCCGGACGGAGAGCCAGTCTTCTCCTCGGTCGAGGCCCGGAGGTCTTCAACGGCAAGGTATATACTGGAGACCCCTCACAAAGGGTCCTGTGTTACTTGAAAAACAGATGGGTTGCATTCGACAGGAAAAGGGATACGTGTGCCGGTTAGTTTATCTTGCATTTCCCCACGCGCGTCTGACCCGAGCGTGGGGCGCACTTGACGCTTCCCCATGCCGGTTCTGAACCTACTAGTGCCAATTCAGACCGCAGTCAAGGGAAACCCCGCGTTGGGAATCCGGGGGCGGGGGACTGCGGCATTGTGCCTCGGGAAGAAAGGCCACCCAATACACTGCCATTTGTAATGCCAGCTCAAGTTCTGCTTCATTGCTGCCAGAGCTGCGGATACCTCAAACTACGTTTCAGTTAGTAAGATGTGGGTATGTAATATCCAGTTTAAGCTATTTCCTCACGCGGGCTACGATCCGACTGGCCGATGAAGCCGTACCCAGAAGCCAAGAGTCACACATACCTACCTATAAACTACTGACCTCACGCCTGCTGTCTGATTGATGAATATCGAGAAAGAAGCAGAACTTCTCTGGTCTGGACATGCAAGTCAAATTCGGTCATCAAAACTGCGGTGCAGAAGAGATCATTGACGCTTGACTTAGTACTTGCTTACTTATCGGTTGGTGAGGTAAAGATCTGGATCAACGCAGATGGTGGGAATCTTTGCAGGATCTCAAGTTGGCAAAATTATTGGAAAAGCAAACCAAATGCATACGAAATCGAATAATCGAAATCATAGAATAGCATGTTCTCTTAAATGAGACTAAGGCCTGGACTATCAATATGCCTTCACCGCCGCCAATTGCAACAGCCTGTCCGTTACAATAGGCTTCTCCAGAGGTTCCTCGCGCTCTTGTGGGTCAAGAACCCCGTCCCTCTTTGCCTTTCCTTGGGGATGGATGTTTGTGTGCGGCCAGTGCGTGGTACCTCCCCATGAACGGAAAATGTCCGCTTTCTCCTTCAATGCCTGTGGGTCGGCGAATTTGACGGGCGTGAAGCAGACGTACTGCGCGTGTCTGATTTGAGTTCCCGTGGGATGTTTGGCGTAATGCATCGATCTTGGCACGGTCAACATGAAGGGCTCCTAAACACTGGAAACAGGTGCTGTAGAGATGTAAACATACCGTGAATCCCAGAGCACCAGGTCGCCTGGCTCAAGGTTGGGTTTGATGAGGCGACACCCACGATCCTCGAACCACTTGACATCCTCTTCCTTGAAAATGAACAGGTCACGATAATTCGCTTCGGGAGGTGGGGCGTCTTCATGGTTTGCCATTTCTCTTGTCTCCTTGAAGAATTGATCGTAGAGCTTGGCGGAGCCATCCATTAGGATGAGGCCGCCATCGTCATCCCCATTGGGGGCGAAGTTGAGAAGACCTTGGATGCACTGAAGGCCCTTCCTCTTGGGATCCTGGTCTGGAATTCCTCTCTTAGAGAACGAAGTGATTGGGTGGTCTACAGGTAGACTTACCACAGTGCGGCCATGGAGACCACTTCAAGTCCTTCTGGCGAGGAAGCGTAATGTTGAACATGTCAAAACTGACCAGCAACTCCTCTGTCTCCCAGATATGAATGAATGGGTTCATCACTCCAGGCTCCCTATCAAAAGTTCAGCTCACATAACACGAGTCCATGGACCGGTGCCACTCACATTCTTGCTTCCCACGCGAATCGCTCATGTGGGGCGCAGTAGGACCCGTACATGCCACCCTTGAACGAGACGGGGAGGTGCTCAGAGGTCCACGTGTCTTCGTTTTTCGGATCGAATCCACGATTGAAAGACTTGAGCCATTCGACCTGCTTTGATTTGTAATACTCAGCTCGTTCAGGAGTAATAGCGTTCTTAATAATGGCGTAGCCATGTTCGAAGAAGAAGTCGCGCCAATCGCCGTAGTTTGACTTCGGGGTTAAGAGGCTCTCCGACATGATTGATGTTTAAGAGTGAATAATCTGTCAGATTGGTAGTGCGTTTGCTATGAAAATTCAAGAAGGTGTAATCACGTAGTCCGATCTATTGAAGAAGATGCAGTGAATCTGGATTATCCTGTCATCTTCTCTTTGACTTTATGTCTCCTCTCTTTCCTGCCAACAAGTAGAGATCTCAATCGTGAACTCGTGAAGCTATCCTGAGACCGCAAGTCAGGCTTCCCCGCACAATCACGTCCCTGAATCGATCTCTCCTGTATGAGTGTGCATTCCCTCGGGCTTCATCCTAGGCCCGGTTCGGTCATCCGTTTGACCCTTGGCTGATGAGGCAGCTATTGTGGCCGCGGACTCTTCGGTTCGGTTCGGTTCGGTTCGGACGGGCTCTCTGGGCTCCTCTTCTCCGCAATTTCGTAGCAACGGCGGGGCCGGCTGCCCCTCGATCTTGGCTAGATCTGGTGCGGCGCACTCCTCGCCCCACAGAATCGTGCATATCCGCCTGGGGATGCCCGCTCCGGGCAGAATTAGACCGAGGCACTCGAACTATGGAACTTGAGCTTCGCGACAACGCGATGTTCTCGTAAAGCCATTGAATCATCAGACGCGTTCCATAAAAAGAACTTTGTTTGCATGTTCAGTGATATGACGAACTCGTGATGCCCCTTTGCCTCACCGTATCTCAATTATTCAGTCCCAATTGTCAAGTCGCCAGATTCAGCCATGCCTCTTCCCATCCAGATTGCGTATAAGCCCATCGGTAAGCCTGAGATCGGCACCAACAACTACCAAGGCTTCACCCCAGGTCGGACCGAAGTCCTACCTAAAGGTTGGAACGGCTACAATGCAAAGCCCCTTGAGAGCGACATTCGAATCGATCACGATGTCGAGATCAAAGTCAGAGACGGGTGTAGACTCTACATTGACGTATACCGCCCAGCGGACAGCACCGGGAAGATCCCCGCCATTGTTGGCTGGTCACCCTACGGCAAAAAGTACAGCGCACTTACCATGCTCCCGATGACGCCATGGTCCTGCTGCGTGAAGAAGAGCGACCTCAGCGGCCTGGAGAAGTTCGAGGGTCTCGATCCGCAGCGGTGGTGCCCCAAGGGGTACGCGATCATAAGCGTCGATAGCAGAGGCGCTGGCAACAGCGACGGTCAAGTCCCAATTATGGGTTTGCAGGATGCCGAGGACGCTTACGATGTTATCGAGGCTATTGCAAAGTTCGACTGGTGCAACGGAAGCGTTGGTATGGCGGGCAACTCTGCGCTTGCTATTGCTCAATGGCATGTCGCTGCTCTGAACCCTCCATCCCTCAAAGCCATTGCACCATGGGAGGCGAGTGGTGATCTATTCCGCGAGCAGTTCGTCCGAGGTGGCATTTTCTCCATGAGCAACTTCGATCTTATCACCAGTCTCATCATTAAAGGCACCTCAGGTGTTGAGGACTTTGCGGAAATGTACCGCAGAAGTCCCCTGTCAAATATCTGGTGGGAGGACAAGCGCGCAAACATGAAGGCTATTAAGATCCCGGCCTACATCTCCGGGTCAGACTTTAGTTCTATCCACACAATGGGTAGCATCAGAGGTTTTATGGAACTGGATACTTCCGATAAATGGATACGATGGAGCGCGTGGCAGGAGTGGTTTGATCTGTACAGTGTGCCGGAGACAAACGAGGATTTGGCGGTATGTCTCCCAGTCCTTCCAATGCTCCTTGTCAGGCATCATGCTAATCATCGCTTAAGAAATTCTTTGACAGGTATCTCAAGGGCATCGAAAACGACTGGGAGAAGACCCCCAAGGTGCGGTGGACATCATTGAAGTTCGGCGACCGAGAGCCAGAAAGCGACATCATTTTTGAAGACTTTCCTCCACCGAACACAGATTACAAGACCTTCTATCTCGATAACGAGAAACTGTCCGAGTCTGCTCCTTCGCATTCCTCAAGAGTGTCTTACAACTCCGAAGATGGCAACTCGCTTGTCAAGTTTACCCACACTTTCGACAAACCATCACGCCTCATTGGCATTCCGAAGGCAGTCTTGTACATGTCTTGTCCTTCACACGACGACATGAACGTGTTTGTAAACGTCAGAAAACTTGATAAGGACGGAAACCCAATGATGCATCTCTGCTTCCCATTTTGGGCTGCACCAGTCAAGTCCATCCACGACATCCCTAAGAAGGAGCAGAGTAGCACAAATTTGCACCTCGGCTCGGTCGGTCAACTGAGAGCATCTCACCGAAACACTGATCCGGAGCGATCGATGCATCCTCAATTCCCCTTCCACCCCCACGACAGGGAGGATAAGATCCCGCCTGGCACCATTGTGGAGTTGGAGATCGGCATCTGGGCCATGGGCGTGGACTATGAGGCGGATGAATCTGTTCAGGTGCAGATCGGCGGTCAGTTCCCCTCCATCGCTGAGTACAAGGCATTTTCGACTGAGCGGCCGGATTATGAGAGGAACAAGGGCGAACATTTCATTCACTGTGGGCCAGAGCATCAGAGTCGCATTATCCTTCCTTTCATTCCATCAAAGTCTTCTTAGAGCTAGGTAACTGCAGCACAACAGCAGATGTCATAATGGAGACTGATGAAGTTTCCAATCTCCTTCGAGAACCATCCTAAATCCCACATGCAAGTTCGAGTGACCCATGTCCAGCAGTACGTCGTTGCTTACCTTCCCTTGAAGTGAAAGTCGTGGATGCCATCTAAGTACGACTTTCCCAAAATAACCAAAACTTTGGAAATGTTCGAAGTTACAGCACTGTCAATCTTTATGGCTTTGAGTTGCTGAAAGCGTTACCACGTCGGATGTTAGCTAGGGAATTCGAGTGGCCCCAAGTTCAATCAGATGCTCCGCGATTCTTTTCCTCCACACCCTCGATTTGTTCAGTCAAAAAAATAGGTAAGCAGAAAGGAGAAGCCAATATTAGTAAATATCACTTATTATTGTTGGATTCTTCACTCAGGTCCACTTTCGATTACACTCAAAGTACACATGGACCACCTAACTGTCATTCAACCTGCCGCCAAATCAAGGCCCACACAATATGGGACTGATGCTGGAGACTACGGGACCCAGTGATCAACCCAAAGATCCCGGCGAAAGGATTTCACCCATGCTAATGATTGTATGAAGGGGTTGTCGTGGTGTTTGCAATGGACCACTTCGAGACCATTTCTCTGATCTGGGTGCCCCAGATGAAGACAAAGATTCCAGCAGCGCCGATACCTGCCGTAAGAGCTCCATAAATACCGAATGCACCATCGTATCCCATTGAGGCGATGAAAGGTGTCACTCCATAGCTCGTTCCGAAAGAGATGACGCCGCGCATAGCGCAGATGATGACCAGCACCGGGCCAGACCGCGTCGGGTACGCATCGAGAGCATAGGTGATACCGACTTGGTTTGCTCCGACAAATCCGAAGTAGTAGGCATTAAGAGCGAACACAATGGCAAACCAGTGATATCTATCGGGGTGCTCAGCTGCCTGGCCGTAGATCACGGCCGCGAGCGTACCGACAATGACGGGAATGATGAGAGGGATCAGTCGGTATTCTGCTTTGTGAACACCGCCGTTCCTTCGAGCGAAGAACTTAATGACCCAGTCTGATCCTCGACCCAGAAGTGGCAAGGCAAGGAATGCGACGACAATTTGACCGGTCAGGGCGAAACTGACGACTGATGATTTCCAGTTGTAGGGGGCATTCTGCAGGATCCCGCCATAGGTGGTACCAAGAGCGATGTTGACGCCGCTAGGAAGGAGATTAAGTTAGTGACAGTACACTGAAACTTTATGGAATGGGGTATTGGCCGTTGCCAGGGCTGCGTCTTACATCGTCAGGCCATTGAGCAGAAGTGCCCACATCATGTCAGGAAAGAAGGTAACGAGAGCCATGCCAGTGCAGCATTGCCAACCTTCTTTCCAATCGGCCTTTTGGGTGAAAAGACGGAGGTCGGACGCGAAGGTGCGAGGCTTGAAGTTGACGAAGTCAAGCTGACGGGGTTCCGTGGTAGTCTTACGGGTCAGCATCTCCGTATACACTCCAGTGGTGTCGTCGACTCCAGGACTAGCAGTTGTGACAAAGTGCGAGACCTGGGCAGTCTGGCCTTGGTATGCTGCCAGCGGCCGGTCATACTTTGTCTCAGGTACCATGAAGACCGCAAAGATGAAAGTGATGGCGGCAAAACCTGAGCCCAGGAAGTACCAGCCAGACGACCCAATGCCAGCGGCTATGTAGGAAGTAAGAAGGGGGTAGACAGCGCTGAGAGTTGACTGCCAAAGCGTGAACCACATGAGACACCGGGCACGCTCGTGAAGAAAGTGAACCTCTTGTACCATTAGCGGGCAGAGAGCTTCACTCTGACCAGCTGCCAGGCCAAGGACCATACGAGCAACGAGGTGAGAGGTATAGCCTTTCTGAACACCGCAGAGGATGGAACCTATGACGGCCAAGGCACAAGACCCGAGGAAAACCGGACGACGGCCTACTGCAAGTGCAAGAGGCATTCCAATGAGGTTTCCAAGTCCCATAAACAAGGAGGGATAAGTCATGAGATGGGAAATATCGTCATATCCTCTGCCTTCGGCTGCATATTCAGGGATAAACTCTCCGAGAAGAGCTCCAAGGCCGGAGACTTGGACGAGACCAACAGCAGCAAAAGTCGCACAAGTCATCGTAATTATCTATTCAAGGATTCCCAACATCAGTCATCGCTTTTACACGGAATATGAGTGTCGGATTCTTGAAAGGTGACTAACCCATTTTCGAAGTGGGCTTAAGTTGAGGGGATCTGAGTTGTTGAGGCGAATGATTAGCAGGAAGCACTTGGGTTATCAGGAGACTTTGATAATCCGCAGGCTCACCGCGTGGATCCGAACTTGGCGTTGGGATAAGATAGGTAACATCTCCGTCGGCAAGTTGTACATTTGCCTTGAAGCTGCCATCGTCGAGTTGAGGCTTCTGGGGGAAGTCAGAGGCGGACTCCACCCTTTCTTCGGTGATCTTGTTGTCTATCTCGCCCATGTTGAAGCGATCGTCTTGAATAGTTAGTAGCGGAACTTGGGTTTTTGGTTCGGAACTGAAAGACTGCTGTCCTCTGTCCTCTATCAAGGACGAAGAACTGTTGTTTGTGGAACTATTGTTGTCGTGAAAGTTGAATTGATGCCACGGGAGGCAGGTCATATTTCTGTAAAATAGACACCCTGACAAACATCTGTGGTATCATTCGTCAATCTCGGATTCGTATCAACTCCCTCGCTTCTGTGTTCTTCTACCCTTGGCAGACTATTCGGCACCCCCAGATTCAACCCCAGATTCAGTGTTGGGGTTGACAGTCTGGGGTACAGGAGAGGGGCCCCGGCTTGGTCATTTACTAGGTCGTTTGCTTCGGCAGAGTGCTATCGCTCAGCTTCGTGCGGGGAAGCCTACGCGAACAGGGAAGTCCTCAGCCACAACGAGGGATGTGACAACCTAGAGCGCTCCGGAATTGGAGTCTTCGGCTCAATATCCGTGCCGTTGTGTCTATGTAGTTGTTATCTTCGGTTCGGAGTCTATGAATGCTGCTCAGCTATCGTTTCCCTTCGAGATCGAAGCGGTATACGTTATCGGCTTGATTTGACCCGTATCTTCAAACCAACACTTTTCTGGGACCCGAGTGCTGGCCAACCCGAATCGCGAACTCGGTCTTTGAACCGAAATCCCATTGTCCATGGCACTCGGATAGCCGGTTCTCTTTCGGGTGCAGTTTGATAATGTTATGTCTAGACAATACTGCCTATCTCATCTCACCGCCTGGGCGCTAGATATTGCTCTCGGGGAAGATTATGTCTCTAAACAAGTATGTCCATGGATACGAGGTGTTGAGTTCTCTTGAGGGTGATAGTCCCGGAACAAAGCTCATTGCTCCGTTCTATATCGGCATTGCTCAAGTGGCCTGTAGAGTGACTACGTAGCGCCAATCGATACATGCATGAAATGAAGTAGCTCAGGCATGACCTTCCCGCTGTCATTCGCGACACATTGCCGATATGCGGAGCTGTTGTAGTAAGTAATGGCGTCACCTTGAGGCGCAGTTGAGAAACCTTGAAGAACAACGATTGTGGCATTATGCATGTCAACGAAGGTAAGAATACAGTATCCTAGGCCCTTTCTCCGAGTATTGCACTTCCCATCAACCAACAAATACCTTGAGCATTCACAATCATACCCGGATGTAAGGAATACCTGTAAGTCTGAAAGCTCTCTCACTCAACTTCTTGTCGTTCAATGGACTCTCCCTAACAATGTGGTCTGGCTTTCCATTTCGGGTGGCGGTGTTGGACCCCGTGTGACGAGCGTTGGGCCAATGGGTGGTACCCAGTCGAGCTGTAGAGGAACATATTGTCAGCTCCATCTCTTTTTTTGAGATATACCCAGGATCAAGAACTTACAGTCATATGCGGCTTTCTTTCGCACAAGATCTTCTTGGGTAGCATCTGTGACAGGCATGAAGCAAGTGTACACAGCCATTCGATCAATCTTCCCCTTGACGGGGACATTGTAGTGCGCAGTGCGCGAATCCCAGACAATCAAGTCACCAGGGTCAGCGCAAACCTTGATCCACTCTCCGCCGTGCTCCTTCAGCCATTCCATGCCGCGATCAGTGAAGCCATACCACTCTTTGGTCCAGGCTGGGATACGCGGCTCGTCCTTGAGGTCTTTGTGGAACTGTGCACTCAGATTGTGAGAGCCCTTACAGACGATGAGACCACCATCATCGGGGCCGCAGGGGTGGAGGTTGACGAGACCTTGAAGGCAGCGGAATCCAGGCTTCTCAGGGTCTTGATCTTGATGGGGCCAGGGCTTGTTTTCGGGAAGGTTTGTGCGATTCGCGAAGCCATAGTTGATGACATCGAAGGAGACAAGGAGGTCCTCAGTGCCGTAGACCTTCTCAAATGCACCAACTACGCCGGGTTCACTGCGGATATCCCAGACAAAGTCTTCGTGGCAGGCCCCGTAGGCCATCAGCATACCCTTTTCATTGATGACCGGCAGCTTGTCGGGATGAACGGTCGATGGATCGTTTCGATCATAGCCAAGGCCGCTAGAACCAGTCAGATTCCTGCAGCTAGACCAAGAAGATCAACATAGAACTTACAATGACTCCAGAAGCCCGTACATCTTGTCCGCATAGCCGTCGGCGCGCTCTCTTGGGATAGCAGCCTTGATCACGGCGAATCCGTCTCTGAGAAGGTCATCACGCCAATCGCCGTAGGACGGGTCCTGGCCATCCATCTTCATTCTGCCATTATCAATGGTCTTGATTGCAGCGCTGGGCTGCTCCGTAATTGAGACAGTCGTAGTAGCCATTGTCAAAGATTGCCAAATTTGGAAGGCTTAGAGTCAGTGCAGCGAAGCTGAAGGATGATTTGTTTCAGTCTTTGGTGCTATCACAAGTTGCAAGCTGTAGGTCTATTTGACTTTTGCCTGTTCAAACGACGTTGCCACCACGATCACAATCTAGCTAACATAAGCTGTGTCTTGCACCCCTGCAAAGATTTCCGAGGTTCTGGGCCGGGTGTGCTGATCACGTTCCGGATGGGCACTGCGATCGAGCCCCTCGGTTCGGTTCGCCGCTCGGTTCGGCTCCCTAAAGTTGGCCAACTGGGGCAGATACGTCCCCCAACCCCAGACACATCTGCCTTCTTTTCCAGTTCACCTGGGTTAAGGGTCCAAAGGCAGCTAGGTATCGGAAAGTGGATGGGCTGAACTCGCGGCTATGCCTTCGGGATAGGCAAAGCACCAATGTGACTGGCGGTCTTGTCCGAAGAGGGTCTTAGCTTCCGATCACAGCTCATCTCGCACATGCCAATGCCGCAGTAATACTTGATCCCCTGCGCCGATGCAAAGCCTTGAGGGTTGCATACTATTGACGTCCATCATTTTCTTCCATTCGTGTCAGAGTCATTAGTAATCCTCGTCGCGATGTCTGCCTCAAACGAAAGCAATTTGTTCAACATCATCGTGGTTGGCGGTGGCATCGCAGGATTATCCGCGGTAAGCAACTGTAGAAGCAGACGAAACTGCGCTCTGACTAACTGCCACAGGCGATTGCGTTGAGAGGGTCAAATCGAAAGATAATTGTTCTGGAGCAGAGTCGCCTCAACCGAGAGATCGGCGCCACAATATCGTGAGATCGTCCGCCCCGTGCATCTTTGAGGCATATGCTCTTCTAGAGACGAAGTGGACTAAACAGGAATTCTCAGTCTCCAGCCAAATGCGTCAAAGTAAGTCATGAACCATAGATCAAGCGAGGTATTCCCCTCCGCGTAAGGTAGCTGACGTTTGTAGAATTGTCGAGAAACAATGGGACCTCGAAGAAGGCCTTGCGAAGACGGGGTCTATGGCCGACAAAGCTGTAAGGTCAAGGCAGGAAGCCTGATGAGGATGTCAACTGACAGGTATTTTCCAGTTTCGGATTTACAACACAGAAGGAAAACTACATGCAGAGATTCCCTTTCACTTGAAGAAGAGCTATGGCGCTGTAGGTGCACCGTCATTGCTTCTGACACGCCATGATCTGAATCACTGACAATGATGCAGGAGAGAATGATCTATCATCGGTAAGCACTGATGGCAAAAATCATTTCCCTACTAAGCTGACTTCAAAGTGTCGATTTACATGATGCTCTAAAGTCTGCAGCAACGCGAAACGAAGGAAACGTGGATCCTGTCGAGATCCGAACGGGCTGCGTAGTCCGGAAATGCGACCCAGAGGCTGGAACCGTCGCACTCGAGTCCGGGGAAGTGCTTTCTGCAGACCTCATTGTTGGAGCTGATGGGATGTGAGTTAAGTTTACCGTGAAATCAGAGGGTGGTATTCCTAATCCCGTCGTAGCAAGAGCGTTCTTCGACAATCGATCATCGGAAAGGAAGCCCCCGCGATACCAACTGGACTCTCCGGTAAGCAGGCGACTGTATCAAGAAGACACCGTGTATCCCACGTCGATGCTGACGATAAATCGATTTAATCAGCATACCGACTAGTGATTGACAGCTCCGAGTTGGAGCAAGACAAAGATTTCACATCCGTGATAGATCCGAGGGAGTCGTTCACCACTATGATCATGGGCCATGATAGACGTATCATCATGGGCCCCGCGAGGAACGGAGCAATCTACAGCATTGTAGCTCTAGTACCAGATGGTAAACAGCGTATTCCTCAAGCCAAAGTAAATTCGTGGCTTACTCAATATTACAGACCAAATGCAGGAAAATGCCGAAGGTAAGTCGTGGACCACCAAGGGTAGTCCCGATAAGCTCAGGGAAACATTTGACGTTTTTCCAAAATGGGCCAAGGCTGTTTTCAAGAACTGCACAGAAGTTGGATTGTGGCAGCTTCGCGACCTAGTAAGGCTAGAGCCCAATCGAATATTTGGAGTAAAAGATCTGACACTCGTTTAGGACCCTTTGGATACTTGGTACTGCAAACGTGCAATCATTATCGGTGATGCCGCGCATCCGATGCTGCCGACTCAAGGACAGGGGGCCAGTCAGGCAATCGAGGATGCAGAGGCTCTAGGAGCCATCTTTTCAGACATCAAGGAAAAGCCGACCCGATCGCAGATTACAGAGAGACTGAAGGTGACAATCCTATTAGCCATTGATGTTGAGGCTCAGTGGCTAACATTTCAACAGATAGTATTCGACTGTCGGTACGAGAGGGCCACACTCATCCAAGGCTACAGTAGAGAGTCCGGAAAGCCTGCGACAGACAAGGGCAACAACAAGATCAAGATGTCAGTTATTAGAATTGAGCAAGTGATTCTGTCGCTAATAATCACAGGAATCCGGCTGAGTTCATGGACTATAATTGTACCTACAATGGCGCAAAAGACTGGATTGAGCGACAGGCCAGGGCGAAGATATTGGCTGAAGTTGAAGAGTCGAAGGGTACCGCGCCAATCTCCATTGCGACGAAACAGATGGCTGCAATTGCTCTGGGCAGTAAATGAAAGATGTTGATTGGTGCTCCAAAGAAGAAGCATTGAATGTAAGAGACAAGGATGGTATGAGTCTTGGATATTGCCACTCTATCGTAATTGGGCCTGTCGAGCATATGAAATCGCAGTCATCATGGCGTTCAAAATCTGCCCAATTGCAGCATCAACCTGTAGACAATCTCGCAAGATACTTACCTCTGAGTCATTCCCGACGTTGCAATTGAGCTCGTTGCTGGTCCTCAGCCACCATTGTGCGAATTGAGGATAAAGATTTGTTGACCTTTTCCCCTAGTCATGCCAGTCTAACTCGCGGTGGTCGTAATTTATTTTGGCCTCAGTGGCTCTGTGTCCCGCAGTCAAGAATGCCCACCGTTATACGAGCACCTTGAACGTCGACATTTCCAACGTATCGGGGCCCGAATGTTCTGTTACGCGATGATGAGAAGTGAATCATACTGGGCCGGAGAGATGAGTCAGACGCGGCCCGAGGCTTAGTTTCAAGGTGAAGAAAAGTGGATTGGACCACGGCACTTCAGTAAAGCCTACAATCCCATTCCGGGTAGATCGTAAATGTCTATGGGGAAAATTATCAGCGCTACCGATGCGGCGATGAACTCAAGGCATCTACCGGTACGGCAGTGTTACACAGGGTAAGATGTCATAGCGTCAGATTTTTGGTGCACAGCACGGTTATCCCCGGGAAACCTTAAGTAAAGAGTAGACTACAAAAAAAATGTTTCTCATCAACTACTTAAGACAGAGAGTGAGTTGCCAATGTTTAGTTTGAGTTTCACTCTCATCTTCATCGACTCCTTCATGATGATCTCCCCTTCACAAGCCTCGCAGGCCCTGCACTACGGCTGTGCCCTGAGCGCCGTGCTCATCGGCCTTTCGGCTTCAGTTCAGTCAGGCCAAGCCAAGAGGAAACACACATCAACGAAAGATTACAAACATCGCCGATCAAAACCCGAGAAAATTGCGAAACTCATCGTCATTATTACATACGTCTCTGATCTAGTTGCTGCAACTTTTCAGCCCGGCGCTTTCAATGAGGAGCAAGCTCACATCATCCACGTCTTGCTGTCAACTTTCGCGTGGATAGCGCTTTGTTCTAATGGGAATGTGCCACGACTTTTGCTCGGCGCCTGCACTGCAACAATCTTGCTTGAGATTCCTCTGCTGGTTCTCAATGTTCGTGGACGATCATTTTCTACCCCCGACATTGCTTGTCTTGTTTGCCAAGGAGCTCGAATCTTTGTCATTACCGGTTTAGTTTTGGTTGCTTTGGCCAGCACTACCAATCGGGGCGGTAGCAGCGGAGCCTGCTCAGCAGAAAGTCAACCTTTCCTTGGATCGCATGCACAAGAAGGGCCTGCAGACTATGGAACCGAACGCTTCAGGGATGATACCGATACCGAGATCGCCAGTGATGGCTCCGAAGTCGAAGATACAGACGATGACGACGACGATAGTGCCAGCATCAAGCGTCGGCGAGCCAAGAGACTAGAAGAGACGGGCGGATGGCTGGGATATTTGAAAGACTTCAAAATCTTTGTCCCGCTTCTGATCCCCAGAAACGACAGAAAAGTTCAACTTTCAATTGTTCTCTGCCTTCTGTGCATAGCAGGTGGAAGAGCAATGATCATCCTGATCCCCCGTCAACTCGGTATCGTCACCGACAAAATCCTGGCGAAAGAAGCACCGTACGGTGCACTGGCCATATGGTTGCTTTTAAGTCTCATCAGCGGCGAGTCGGGCCTAGGTTTGATTGAAGCACTCGCGAAAATTCCCATCAAGCAGTTTTCATACAGACAGATCACCAATGCCGCCTTCAGTCACGTCATGAACCTTCCCATGGAGTTCCACGCTGAGAGAGACTCTGCAGAAGTCATGAAGGCCATTGAGCAGGGTGGAGCTCTTAGTAATCTGCTCGAGACCGCCGTCATTGACATACTGCCGACAGTTGCGGACATGTTCATCGCACTCTGGTTCCTGTACTGGAAATTCAACGCCTACGTCTCTCTGGCTATGCTTGTGGCTTCTGTGGCTTTCACAACCTTGGAGGTCGTCACTTCAAACATGAACCTTGCGAATCGCAGGGCGTCAAGTAAAGCTGAAAGAGAGGAAGCGAGAATCATGCACCAGGCTGTTCAAGGATGGCAGACCGTCACGTATTTCAACATGTTCAATTTCGAGAAGCGCCGCTTCGGCCAGGCTGTGGACTCGCAACTCGCCGCTAGCCGTAGATATGGAGTCGGCGATGCTTTCATTCAGGCTCTCCTGGAGGCGACCGTGCCAGTGACATTTTTTGTGCTAGCATGCCTGGTACTGTATGAGATCACTAACGGCCGAGCTTCCCCCGGAGATTTTGTGTTGCTCTTAACATACTGGGAGTATCTGGTCTGGCCTCTCAAATTCCTCTCACACAATTACCGGTACTTGATGTCAGACTTGGTGGATGCCGAACGTCTTCTCAATCTACTACTGACCAAGTCAACCATCGTCGAAAGGGAGAACGCCAAGGACCTCACGCCCGTCAAAGGCCACGTCGCATTTGAGGATGTCGGCTTTGCCTACGATCCGAGGAGACAGACTATTGAACAGCTGGACGTGTCAGCAGCACCAGGAAAGACTATCGCCTTGGTCGGAGAGACGGGCGCTGGAAAGTCATCAATCATGAAATTGCTGCTGCGGTTTTACGACGTCACAAGCGGTCGCATCACCATTGACGGCCAAGACATTCGCGACGTCACTCTCACATCGCTTCGCGAAGCCCTTGGAGTTGTTCCGCAGGACCCCTTGCTGTTTAACGCATCCGTCATGGAAAACTTGCGTTACGCACGGCCATCTGCGACAGACGAAGACGTTTTCGAGGCATGTCGGGCTGCTGCGATCCACGACCGGATCCTGAGTTTCGCCGACGGCTACGAGAGCAAGGTTGGCGAGCAGGGAGTCAAACTTTCCGGCGGTGAAATCCAGAGACTTGCCATTGCGCGAGTCTTTTTAAAGGATCCGCCCATTCTGATTCTCGACGAGGCGACGAGTGCGGTTGATACGATGACTGAGGCGAATATTCAGCATGCTTTGGAGACTTTGAAGAGTGGCAGGACGACGTTTGTTATTGCGCACAGACTCTCAACGGTTGTCAACTCGGACAAGATTGTGGTCGTACACGAGGGTAGAGTGGTTGAAAGTGGTACGCACGAAGAATTGTTGGCGCAAGGTAACAGATACAAGGACTTGTGGACGAGACAAGTTGGTGGTGCTTCAGAGAGGAACAGGATATGACAAGGTTCGTGTTTAGGTTTCCTTCTTTTCTGATTTTGATAAGCGTTTTAGTGTTTTGGCCATTCTTCGATTGGAATCTGGGCCATTGGTGGCTGCCTCGTCGTTGCCAAATTAGACATTGCTCGGGACCGTAGAAACTCGCGAATCAGAGTACGTTTTCAGATTAAGCTCGATGAGGAGCATTTTCACATTTGGCTGTCTTAATGACTCCAACGGTAGTGGCCTTTGGGGCACGCAACGATGTACCGGTACTAGGTTTTAGTGATTTGGAGCGCAAATCCCCTACCAGCCCTTGAGTGGCGTGGATCGATCGGAAGGTTAGGGGGGCTTGCGCTTAGATCGACAGGGACTACGAATGCCGTCATCAAGAGAGATGGCTTCTGTGTCGGACAACAACACTTGTAAAATTGTCCGTGAGAACTTATGAATGAGACATGTTGGAGACCTGACCTAGCATGAGAAGATCAGCAAATTTGGAACTGTTTCCCAGTCATATTACGCAGATGCGTGTAGGGGTCTGTCTCGCACAATCAAACCTTCTCCTGAGACCCGCCTAGACCAGAACAAGTTTTAACACCAGTCCCATAAACAGGGCATCACTGTTAATCCCAACAACAACACGCACGCGATCAGCTACCCAAACAGGAAATCCCAGCTCTATATCGTCCAAAATAACGCACAATGACTCCGATTGCACACTTTCCGACGAGTTGGAAGCCAATATCAAGCGCAAGACGCGTCGGAAATCCTCATCAATCACAAAGAAAGTCACTGATAAGAACACGCCAAAGCCTAAGAAGAAGAAGAACGAGAACGGGATTGTTGATTTCAAGGCAAACCCTGCTGACGATGAATTCGTCTGCTCACCGCCTTCAGCCCCAAAACTCTCTGGAAAGAGGTTTGCCGCCTGGTTTTAACATGCCCAGTCATCTCCATACCCCAACTTCCTCCAACCGACCCATGACGAATGTCAGGTCGCTTGTATACCCCGAAAGGGCTTCATGGAGATGTGATTCGGGAACTCTATGCAGATCCAGATGTTCCAGCTCAAGAGTGCCTGTATGTGATGGATGCTTTGGTGATAGCTGCCCTCAGCCAGGCGACCAGTTGGAACAATGCCAAGCGTGCCATGAAGAACATGAAGGAGATGTGTACGGGTCCCTGTCCAACTGGGAGGGAATTGTGGAGGGCAGTATGGAGAGGTTAGTGGAGGCGCTGCGACCCGGCGGGATGCAGAGCAAGGAGACCAAGATTCTCATGCAGCTGTTGGACAAGTGGGATCTTCAGCACCCCTTCAACGCAAGCGATGAAGAAGTTGTCAAGGACGTGGTCGGCTACAGGGGTCTTGGATCCAATGGCGTGTTCTGTTTGATGCGCATCTGCCTGAATCAGGATGTCTTTGCTGTGGACACCCACACTTACCACATCACAGGTCTCTGGGGTTGAGACCACGTGATGCATTATGGGAGCTGGCGCAGGCCAGTCTAGTTGCTCGAATACCGAATGAGCTGAAGTTAGAGTTACACTCTCAGCCTATTGCCCACGGCCAGAAGTGCCCTGTCTGTCGAGGCAACGGAGACAGCAAGGCCCTTAGTAATTACCGAGTGCTCCTGCGTCAACGAATGGGAAAGGCTAAGGAGGATATGGCGAATTCGTATGTAGTAGACTATCGTATCACCTCCTCAAATGACTATCTTTAACTCCCTTCAACATCGGCGCATCTG